TTGAGAAGCCTCCAAACACTTAAAATTGCATACTGGAAAATTCTATTGTATAATATTTATGGTTTTTATTTTATAGTATAATAGTTACGACCTATGATCCCGTAGAAAATTCTGTAGCGACATAGCTACGAATTTTTACTCCGTAACAAATGTCGTAGCGAGATAGCTACGGACTTAGATGCGGTAGCAAATTTTGTAGCAAATTTGCTACAGATTTTGATTCCGTAACAACTTCTGTAGCAAAGTAACTACAAATTTTAATCTTTAGCAACACTTGTAGCAAAATATCTACGCCTTATAATTCTGTAGCAAAATATCTACGCCTTATAATTCTGTAGCAAATTTTGTAGCATGATAACTACGGACTCCGATTACGTAGCAAAATTATGTAGTTATTCAAATATTAGCTATAGAATGCAATTCTGTAGCTAATTCCGTAGGAAATATACCTACGTCTAACTAGTTTGTAGTATAATCCGTAGTAGAATAGCTACGGTTTTTAATTCTGTAGCAAAATTCCGTAGTTATTCAAATATTACCTACAGAATAAAATTCTATAGCAAGTTCCATAGCAAAATAGCTACGACAAACCATTCCGTAGCATAATTCGTAGCAGAATAACTACGGATTTTACTTTCGTAGCAATTTTCCGTAGTTATTTCAACTTTTTCTTGTAGTGAGACCTCACAATTCGAATTATGAAAAGGGATGTCGTAATCATAATTGAATTTGAGAATGCAAATATCACAATTTCTATCTCCTTAAAATCTACTTAGTGAAAGTGTTTCCTCACCATCATTTTCATGAATGGAAGAGAAACCTTATGACACTTAGATTTTATGGTGTATGTGTTCCTATCCATATGAATTTGTCAAAAACATAACCACAAGAGGAGGTTAGTGACAAATCCAAAATCATATGGACTGAAATTGTTCAATCTTAATTTCTTGCTACCTGGCAGCACAAGGGTCTACCATGTCTTCCAAGTTGTTATGCAAACAATTGAGAACTCATAGAACTCACATGCATAGTCAAATTTAACTGGAATGGGCATAGAAACAAGAATATGTCAACACGAT